CCGCAAGCACTTATTGTCGTAGTCACAGAGACAGTTATAGCTTATGTATATGTTGCTCCTCCTGGCGAGGATGGTGGCTCAGATAGCTTGCCACCAGAGCCAACAGACCCCCCTGAATCTAGCAATTCTGATAGTGATTCTTCCAAAACTTGTGATTCTTCGGATACTTCAGACACCTCAGATACTTCGGACACTTCAGATTCAGCTGATGATAGCGACCCCACTGACGATTCTGAACCGATCGGTGATACTGACTCGGCAGACAGCACAGACCAAACAGATGACTCAAACTGCACAACTAGTGCAGATCCAACTAGTCCCACAGATCCGCCAGCTAATACTGACGAACCAGATTCGCCTCAACCTACTGATTCTGGGAATCAGTCGGATAACTGGAAAGATATGCTTGACCAAGTTAACAAAATTCGTGCGGAAGCCGAAAAGCCACCACTAAAGCTTGATAGCCGAATGAATGCAATGGCACAAGCACATTCTGATTACCAGGCATCTATATCTAAAATGACTCATGATGACGCTGCAGGTAGTTTGGGTAAACGCTGCACTGATTACGGTGTAAACTGGAGTGGTGTTGCGGAAAATGTTGCATGGAATCACAAGGATGCGACTGCAGCGGTTCAAGGGTGGAAGAACAGCAAGGGACACTATGCTAGCATGGTTGGCGACTATACAATAGTCGGATTTGGAGTTAATAATCTTTACTGGACACAAGCGTTTGCCAAGGAACAACAATAGGTATTTGGTATAAAATAGCTTCTGCAGGCAGTGGCATTTTTAAGCGACGCATAGATGGATTTGTTTTTACTAGCTGCGAGATTTTTTTTATTAAAACACTAATGAGGAGTCGACATTCACTGCCGCTCGTGCGTAGCTTATGCCTCTATTCACAAATCCCAAAGCACTGCCCTAATGGCACAAACCCGCGAAACTGAGTGTCTCGAAGGTAATCTTCTCTTAAGGCTGACATTCTTACTAGGAAAGTAGATCTCTTGAATTTTATTAAAGCCATCTCCACACTTGCCGAGCTCGGGCGGCTGCTCGGCCGAAATTCCTCCGCACTAGATGTTGTTGCTTTGTGTGGTTGCTACGTGGGACTTGATTATGCAAACTGAATGCATAGTTTTTGGATATGCTTCCGCATTTCGGGTACTTAGAAAGTAGGAAATGTGTGTGCGCGCTTCCCCTGAACATGGATTGAAGAGCGCACCTTGGCATTCAAAAAGCTCAATCTTTTTCTTGCAATAAATTGCAATAACATTCTTTCTCTACGTCCTTTGTTGGCGCTGCTTACAAATCAACCAATTTTTGCTATTGCACTAATGTCATTTTCCATCTTGTAGCTAGAAGGTTCCACAGCCTTAGGGCTACAGCTAGTATATAAATATCAAGTATGTTACCTCTCAACCATCTTTCCTAAGGACCAACCATCAGGCAATTCTCTATTTCTAGCACATTATTTTGACGCCTCTGCAACACACGCTGTAAACAGTTAAATCATGGCTGCTGCCAACGCTCCATCATATACTTTGCGTTACTTTAAGGTAATTGGTCGCGGAGAACCGATTAGACTGCTTCTGACTGCAGCCAACGTCGAGTGGACGGAAGAACATCCCAAATGGCCGCAGGAGAAGTCTAATCAGCCCTTTGGTACCCTGCCAGTTCTCATTGAGAAACGCACCGATGGAAGCCCAGACTTTGTTATCTGTGAGTCTGGCAGCATTGAGCGTTATCTTGCACGCATCTACGGCTTTCTTCCTGCTGATCTCAAGCAAGCTGCACTGCAAGAGCAGGTGCGTGATCAGGTAACTGATGTGGTTACAGCTTTTGTTGGTTATATGGAAGCCGCTAGCGAGGAGGATAAAAAAGCTAAACTCGAAAGTTTTGATGAGCTTCTTGACAGATTCATGACTGTCCAGACAAAACATATCCAGAGTAACGGTAACACTGGTCGTCTGTTTGGCGACAGTCTTTCCTATGCCGACATTCTCACTTACGTGTTCTACAAGATCATGGGAATTGAGTTTGCAAAGTACAAGCCAGAGATTATGGATTATTTAAAGCCAAAGCTGACTCCCGAGATTATCAAGTTTATTTTCACTGTTGAAGCGGAGCCGAAGCTTGCCAAGAACGTATTGAAGTCTGGCAATCTTTCAGCTGTGGTCAGCGCATAATTTGGCAACTTTAATTGGTTCAAAGTTTATTTGTGTTCTATAAGCATACAAATAATAACGTTTATATTGAAGCTTCAGGATTTAACAAATTAATGCAAACTTGAGTCGCAACAAGACTCCTGCAAAATGCAGTTCACCAAATTTTTTTTATTGAAGATGTTCGCTATTGGCGCAGTAATGGAATAGTATTTTAGTTTGACAAAGTGTTTGGTTTTATTTGTTCACGAGCTCGCGTTTTGCTTTGTAGAAGACGCAGCTTGAGTGTGGTTGGCAGAAAAGTTACGTCGGCAGATAGGAAGACCAATAAACAGAGTAGAAAGATTTTGGTATTCTCAAATAGATACATAGCGTGCAGCTCTACAGAACAACTAATTCTAGCATTGATGTAGTCCTCTATATATAATCTGTTTGATGCAATTGTGTTAGCTTTTGTCCGACCGACCGACCATCCATGGTCAACGCTAGGTAGAATGAGTGAATGCGCGATAACTGACAAATTCTAGCCCCATTGCAGACATTTGATTAGTTTACAAAAAATGTAACTTTGGCCAAGCAACATTGACTAGCATGCAGCGTTGTCTGGAAATATTGGATGTATTTTGAGGTGTTATGCTCCTCCAAGAAGGAAAAGGTTATCGTGGAGACAGTCACTTGCCACGGTCTTCTCTACTGTAAGAATGAGGACTGTCTTGAGCCCGAGCTGCGCTGGGATCCTGTTCCTTCTTCTTCCATCGATCCGTTTCCCGATCCATATCCCAATCTCAGGCATTGGAATCGCGATACTGCTGCTGTTCTAAACTTCCGGCATATTTTATTCAGCCTGCGTTAGGGCAAGGGAGTTCCGGAGTGTTTGCGGCATGGGAATGCTGTGCCTGCTGCTGATCAGCCGCAGAAGCCAGCTAAGCGCCGCAAGAAGAGCACCAAGAAGCCCAAGAAATAAATACCAAATATTCAGGGTGGTCATCAATGCCCTAAACCAGGAACAAGTATGCTTAACATATAGCCTTTTAGATTTTGTTAAGAACTTGTAATAAAGTACAACATACGCAACTTACCTCAAATGTCGCCTGGATCCCTGAAAGAGATATGGTCCGATGTAGAATCATTCAAAGGCACCGAGTTTTTCTGCGGCTCTTCTGCTTGTGCGCAAACAACACTATCCACAACGCAAACACAATGCCCGAATGGCGCAAGCTTTTGTCAAATTTTGCAAAAGTAATGCGGCAGAACACTAAAAACTTTTTTTAAGAACGCCGTTTTAGTATAGTGGTTATTACACCACGTTGTGGCCGTGGTAACCCTGGTTCGATTCCAGGAGACGGCACAAGCTTTTTTGCTTTTTCTGAAGTTAGCAATAATTTCTGTAACTTTTACTAACCCGTAACTGGTGATTCGTGAACTATAGTAATAAAATATACATAATATTCAATGGGAAATAAGCTAAAACATCAAAAGCTAGAAAGTTACACCTTGACGTGGATGTAGTTGAATGTGCTCTTGGGAACGGTGCGCGTGCCATAGCCATTCTTCGTATTCCAGTTATACTCCTCGACGGTCACGCTGCTGCCAGAGACCTTGGCGACCCAAGCGACATGTCCGTACTTGCCGGCATTGGTCTGCGCGACGCTTCCGGCGACAGGCTTGCTGTTGACAGGAACACGAGTCTTGCGCGCAGCATCATCCCAGGTGTTGGCATTGCCCCAGTTCGGGCCCTTGTAGTGGTTGTGGAACTTGACGCCCAGGCGGTTGTTGATACGCCAGGCGACAAAGCTGGTGCACTGGCACTTGAAGTAGTTCCAGGGATCCACGCCTCCACACTTGCCCTTGTACGGATAGTCGTTCTTTATCGGTCCTGGAACCTTGCCACCGCTGGGCGGCTTGGATCCGCCACCGCTGCACTTTTTGGTGACATAACCGTTAGATCCGGTCTTGACATAGTAGTCAGCAACATAGCAGCCGTCGGAGGTCTTGTCCCAGATGCTGTTGCCATTGACGCTGGTGCCCGAGGTCTGGCAGGTAATCTTAACGTTAGTGCCCTTCTTGTAGGACTTCTTCACCGAGTAGCTAGTGCCTGGTCCCGAGCGGCAGTTGACAGTATTTCCGGTGATGGGATACGCATCAGCAAATGGGGCGAGGGTGGCGAGTGCAAAAGCAGCAATGGCGAAGAGCTTCATGTTTAGGATGTGCGTTGAGTATCGGTTTGTAATCTGAGCGTTGCTGCGACTAGAACTGAAGAGACTGTGTCGTTTTTGTTTTAGAAGAGAAGTTGATGTTGTTTGGTTGATGAGATGGGGAAAAGAACTTTGGTGGCCATTGAGTTGCCCTTTTATACGCATCTGTCAGCGCATTTTATGGATGAAACAAACACAAGTCGACAGACGTTGTCATACAAGTTTAACGAGCTTTACCAAAGTAGCAAGCCTACGGTATCTTGTTTGTGCATTAAGTACAGCGCATATTTTATCTGCAAAATTCTATTTCTGGCGCCAACTGCAAAATAGAAAACATCGCAAATAGGATTACTACGCTTCTAACTGCAATATAGATTGCTATAAGCACTAATGGTAGTATAAACAGTCGTCCTGTGCGCTTTTATTAGGCCATCTTCAGCTGATGGGCCTATTTTTAGCGAGGCAATGCAGGCTGCACAGGAAAATAAAGCGATTACACATGCATCTTGGTGATCGCAAAACATCTGAAAAAAAAAAATCATCAGGAAAACCATCGCTATTTATAGTTCGACAATTTCCCAGTAATTATACCAATACACGCGTACGCATGCATCATCGGTGACAACCCCCCTTACTCGAATGCGATTTTTCGATAGACCTTTACTTGCGTGCATCGCCAGCACCACTAATCTATTTTTGGCGTTCGATAATAGTATCGCCGGTTATTCTACGTTATTACCAGCTGCATCGTCGGCAGTTTGTAGCAAACATGTGCTTGCTAGTCGGGCCAGCTAAATTTAGATAAACCTAAATATTTTTGCATGCGTTGTAAAGTAACACTGTACAGAACTATTTCAATACTCGCATTGAGAAATGCAGCAAGCAGAAGTGCACCTTGCAAGAAGCTACACAAAATGACTTGCACTCTTTCGAGGATGCTCGGCCCGTGTATATAAACCTGTCCAACCGCCCGCATTGCCCATTCATCCATCAACCAACACCGCACTCCAGCAAGCTAAATCTCACAGAATTGTTACTCGCCTCACTTTTGGTTTCAATAGCCAGTCCACAATCGATTACTCGCAGCCACTGCCCTCCGATCTTATACAGCTACCACTCTACAATGAAGCTTCTCTCAATCGCCGTTTTCGCCTTGGCTTCCGCCACTTCTTTTGCCAAGACATACCCAATTACTGGCAACACTGTTAACTGCCGCTCCGGGCCAGGCACAAGCTACTCGGTCAAGAAATCATACAAGAAGGGCGCGCAGGTCTCCATCAGCTGCCAGACTTCAGGCACCAGCGTCAGCGGAAATAGCATCTGGGACAAGACCTCCGATGGCTGCTACGTCGCCGATTATTATGTGAAAACCGGAGTCAATGGCTACGTCACCAAGAAGTGCAGTGGCGGAAGCAGCGGCGGCTCATCAAGCGGCAGCTACTGCAAGAAGGTCAACACTGCTGGTGTTAATCTCGTCGCTCAATGGGAAGGATTTGTAGCCAGCCCCAAGCCCGATCCAATTGGCCTGCCCACCGTCGGCTACGGCCACTTGTGCCAGAAGAAGAACTGCGCCGAGGTCAAGTACAAGTTCCCGCTGACAAAGACTACCGCCAAGCAGCTGCTAAGCGATGATCTGCCCAAGTACAGCAAATGCCTGGCTGCTGCTCTGAACAGCAAGCCCAAGCTCAACCAGAACCAGTGGGCTGCGCTGACATCATGGGTATTCAATGTTGGCTGCGGCAACGCAAAGTCCTCGACACTTGTCAAGCGCCTTAACAAGGGTGATAGCCCGAACACCGTTGCTGCGCAGGAACTTCCCAAGTGGCGTATGGCTGGAGGCAAGGTAATGCAGGGCCTGGTTAACCGCCGCAAGGCCGAGATCAAGCTGTTCAAGACTGCTTCATCCAAGCA